TATGTGGTGATTTTATATTCATTTATTTTATCCCCCCCCCTCCCGTTTCAGGTATAAAGTGATGAAGAACTGGGGCGTTATCGGGGGGGTGGCGGCTGCCGTGGCGGCGGGGATGTACGTGCTGTGGGGTCCCATCACCGAGAGGAAGCGGCGGAGGAAAGGTAGGGAGGGCCCACCCCCCCGGGGCGTTGGAACCGCACCTGCTTCTATTTTTTTTATTATTTGTATCCGTAAATATTTTTTTTTTTCCTCGCTAAATATAAAATTTTGGTCACTGTCCTGCTTAGAAATGTGACAAATTGGAAAAAAAAATACGTATTGCACAAAGGAGTTTTGTTACTGACGCGGTGTATTAATTGCTTCAACGGACATTTTTTTTCTAAAATTGTGACTTACTAGAGATATTTTTGTGTTTTGTGTTAAGTTAATTCCCGGGAATGAACGTTTCCACATTTTGGAATGCAAATTAAACGTGTTCCTATTGAACGCTGGCACAAGAGAGGTGAAAGTCCCTCGCTAAGCAGAGTTGTACAGAAATACCTCTAATTAATCCCTGGCGACCCGGGAGTTTTCGTAACAACATACTAATTTGAGCAAAAGAGAAAGTAAGCTGCACCAAACCACCGGCGCCGCGGTGAACCCGCGGGCTCCGGTAAACCCCCACGACAAGGGCTGCCTGCACGGGGTATCAGAACCAAGAATTTACCAGTTTGTACGGTATTTTGCAGATAATCCTGAAATTTAGTGTTGCTGATAGAAATCTATTCCTATTGGGGGGGGGGGGGAGAAGAGTATTTTTCAAAGAAATTTTAGGAAGATTTTTTACAGCAGTGTAAGTCTTAGACACCACCATGTATATAAACACTTTAAAGTACGCCCTTGTACATACAAGGTCTTAGTTTTCATGGAGTGCAAGTACCAAATGAACTGAAATAATTTAATTTTAATGTCATTTTAATACCTCACACAACACTTGCTACTGAAAATAGTAAGTTTTTCCTTACTTTATGGTGTAAACTCTTACGCTTCTGTCTGCAGGGCTCGTACCCGGCCTTCTCAACTTAGGCAACACGTGTTTCATGAACTCTCTGCTGCAAGGCTTGTCTTCCTGTCCGTCCTTCATCAAGTGGCTGGAGGAATTTACAGCACAATACAAGACAGACCAGAACCAGCCTACTAAGCATCAATACTTGTCGGTCACTTTGCTGCATCTCCTGAGAGGTACTTTTAACATTTTCACGTTACGATAAACTAAGGAGAAAATATTTAGCATAAACGTTATCGTTTCTAGCATCCCTTCCCAAAGAAAGGAAGCTCATGCGGTCTTGTATTCTCTGTTTAATTTCCCTCTACTAACTTTGAACTCCTTGGCCAAGTTCAACCAACTTTCACAGAGGGGTAGAGATCCGAAAGGCATTAACTTACTGTGCTGAACCCGAACAACGCGAGGCTCAGCTGCGTGTGTCCCCAAAGCTGATTGTTTCTTGGCCAGCAGCTGAAGGGTTTCAGGTTTTGGCAATCGAGAAGCCGTGGGCAGCCAACCCAGCACACGGGCTCCGAAGAAGCCGTTTGCCAGCAGGTTGAACAAACAGAGGTAGAGGGCAACAGCGGGGCTGAAAATGTGGTTATGGAACCTGTTGCCACGGGCTTTAATGCTTTTGCTCTTCACAGAGTATTAATGGTTAAAACAATATGAATATGGACTCAGTATTATTGAAGAAATAGGAGAACTATTATCACAATTAGATGGACACTCAGAATTCTAGATCAAAGAAAAATAAGGCATTCTAAAATAATTTAAGCATTTTTCCCCAAGCTTACTGTTTTACCCAAAATATGGACTATGAAATAGGAAACTTTTTATGATGTCGGATACAAATGTCAAAGCCTCTAAAATGGATTTGGTAGCCCATTTCAGACTTGCCCCTGTGCTAAATTCCCGTATCAGTTACATCCTGTTTAAGCACTCAAAATGTTTAAGCAATTTGTTGGCTCTCCCTGGCTTTCCTCACAGGGCTTTGTTTTAAAGGAAACTCAGGATAGTCTTCATACTAAAGTTGTGCCTGTTAAGCACATACATTTAACGGATGTAAGGACGATGGGGCATTAATATTGGGGTTTCTGTGACGTGTAAACTACCGATTTTTACCCAATCCACTCGTAAAAATTTGTCTTTTCAGTCAGTGGTTCTGTTTATTCTCTCTGTATCAGTTAGTTGAAAAACCTTTAAATTTGCATATGTATTAGATGAGGAGAATGTATGCAGTCAGCCTGAGTCAGATGAGAATGGTAATTAATATACTAGTTTGATTGTCATTGTCTACCTGTCTTAATCAAGAATAACTGCTGTAATGGATTATATGACACTTAAGTAACATAAAGTCTAAAATAGACAAATTTGTGTTCTAACCATTCTTTGTGGCTCCCTCTAACTTTTTCAATGCAATGTCTCTAGCTTTATCCTGTCAAGAGGTAACAGAAGATGATGTCCTGGACGCAAGCTGCCTGTTAGAAGTTTTAAGAATGTACAGGTGGCAGATCTCATCATTTGAAGAGCAGGTGATTACAGAATTCAACTTAGACCGCCTGATACACTCCTCAGTGCTTGGATATGGAATAACAGAAAACTGAAGCTATGGCACTAATAGCCCTGAGTGTCAATGCTGAATCTTTGGTGATGTGAAAACTTTGCTTTAAAAAGTGAAGGGAGACAACCATGTGATTGGTGAATGGTGTTTTCAGTTTGCTTCGATCTTTGTCGTGGAAACCCTGTCTGCTTCAAAACCTCATACTTAATTACCTTCAGATTTGGTACAATGGAGCCAGTAATATTAAAATAGAACAGCTACAGCCCTGGATTCTCTATAGATAATGGGTCTATGTTACGCTAATGTGCCACGCTGCTTTGAGGGATGGACTCCACTAACATTGCCAAATTTAGTTACATGTAACATACAAGACTTCTAATTCATTGTCAGTATATTCAGCCCCTAAGTAAGAGCAGCTGGCCAATGACCTCCACCAATTATCTTGCTCATAAAGCATGGTTCTGTCTCTTATATTTCAGAGCCAAAGCAAACCACGTAGATTTCAAATATGCTTTTATTGAAATCAAGGAAAGCAAGCATTGTGCATTCATTTTTCTTTTTTTTTTCCTCCAAGTATTTTAGTCTCTTTGGAGTTTATATGGCCCAGAATGTTTTTAATAATGTGTGCTGTTATAAAGTTCAGCTTTTTGGCAAAACTGTAGCAGATGCACAAATGATTACTGTTAATACCTAAGGTGGGCTCTAAGCAGTAATTTTTCCTTCAATTTCCTACTGCAATGATGTAGTTGTATGTGTATCAGTACCCTTGGTGTATGTTCTGATGTCTCGTTTTCGCTTCCTCTAAGTCTTATGCCTCTATTTAATAGGATGCTCATGAGCTATTTCATGTCCTTACCTCTTCATTAGAAGATGAACGGGATCGTCAGCCACGGGTGACACATTTGTTCGATGTGCATTCGCTGGAGGTGACTTCTTTACCAATGTTATTTCAGTATTGGGAGAAGTTTCTGTAGTCTGCCTCGATTCCTAAGTGTGTCAAGTATAAAGTGTTTAGAAACTGAACATATTTTCACTATGTTTACAAAGCTGTTCTTTAGTACTCTGATAGAAATGAATCGATAAGTCAGGCAATCTAAAGAACAAAAAAATGGTTTCCGTAAACCAATGTATTTGAATTTACAGTCATCCCACTTTCATGAGGACTTTTGCATTCCTAAATCCATAGAATAGAGGGATTGAAATTACTAGCAAAGAACAGGAGTCCGTCTAAGCAGTTACTCTTATCTGTAAGAGTTGACCCATGAAAGAGGTTTGAAAACTGCAAAGTGGACGTTTATGGAATAGTCCATTTGGAGGTGAAATTTATCTTATCCTTCAGTTTAGTGGTAAACTTAGTACACATGGAAAGTTTCCACCTTTTTGTCTAAAATATATACAAAAGGCTTATAAAATCTGTTAAGCTTTTATCTCAGTACTCTGGGTCAGAGAGTTCTGCAGATTAATTATTCACTTTATTAGAAGCATTTGTCAGTTACAAATTTGTTGCGTACTAGGTTTTTTGGCCTTCCTCAAATATAAAGAGGCACTAAAACTCCCACAATTGTTCTAATGTCAGAAAAGCATATCAGGGATGAAATAAGAACATACTTAGTACTTAATGCTTTCTGAGGTGGGGTTAATGAAATCTTTTATCTTCCTCTGTAGCAGCCAGAAATAACCCAAAAGCAAATAAGCTGCAGAACAAGAGGTATGCTTTTTTCCATTCTGAAATATGAATATTCAGTCATAGTGTAGTAATTTTGTTTACTCAGAGGATAATATTAATTGATCTTTGTCTGTACTGGACTGAAATATATCTCTTCAGCCATAAAAAAAAACCCATTAATTATTTTTTCAGTGGGACAGAACATGTTTTAGAGCAGTTACTTTTGTTACTGTGGACGAAAAATGCGATGAACATGGATATAGTGAAACTGAAAGGACAATTTCAATTTTGTGTTTCAGGGTCTCTTCCCCCTGTGTCAAATCACTGGAAATCTCAGCATCCTTTTCACGGAAGGCTGACCAGCAACATGGTTTGCAAACACTGCGAACACCAGGTATGAGAATGTGTATCTCGTTGTATGTATACATGAAGAAGGATGCCCAACACTCGGAGAGTGTCATCCCCTGTTTCTGACGTAGTTGGTTTAAGCTCCAAAGCTTTGCTGGACTGACAGCTTAGACTGTTACTTTTTCAGGTACTTGTTACGAACAGTGCCGAACAAGAATGTATCACTGAAGAAAATTAAGCGTGATCCTCTTTGTGGGGATAATAGCTGCCTTATCAAACACAATAATAGCTCTCTTGTTATATTTAGTATTCAGTACCACAGCTATCGTATACTGAAAATCCACTCACATGCGTAGCGTTTTAGGACTAGCTATTCATTCAGCACGCGGTACTGAGATTGTACGTGCAAAGCCAAATAAAGTTGCAGTCTGGTTATCCAGAGTAAGGAGATGAAGATAACCTGCATAAAGACAAAATACAGAAAGTAAATCTGATCTGTAGATCAGACTGTAAGAATACATTTAGTACTTTTACTTTTCAAAACCTTGTAAACAAATGTAGGAGAGCCAGGGGCAGCTGCAGCAGAAACAGGCGAAGTAGCACCTTGTGTGTGTGTAGCGTTCCCTGGCACCTTGCTTGGGAAAGTGGCGGGGTTTGACCCTATTCCGCCAGATAATTGTGGACTGCAGAGGGCGTATGTTCATCTTTTGTGAAGTTGTTTTTTTGGTTCTTTTGGACTGTTGTAAATCTTAGCTCACTGGGTACGTGAAATACTTTCTTGCAGAGTCCTGTGAGGTATGATACCTTTGACAGTCTCTCGCTGAGTATTCCGGCAGCTGTGTGGGTATGTATCCCTCACCGACACACCAGTCTGTCCTGGTCGTCACAACTTTATCTTCACTACTGCCTTTTAAAGATGCCACAGCCTAAGCATAAATGAGTAGCTACAGTTTATTTTCTTGTCTTTTTATAAATGATCCTGTTGTGCTAATACAGTACCTTATCAATAACGTGTTGGTGCAAATTACCAGTTAGTACAACAAGCATGACTTTGTTGACACAAATAAGAGTTTTCTGTTTCTCCTAGTGGAGTATTTGGTCCTTTCTGCGTAATTTGAACAGACCAGATCGTATCCTGAGGGCTGTGTGTTTCTGGCGGTCTCAGAAGGTGACCTTCCAGTACTTTGCCTCTGTGGTAACAGTACACAAGTTACCCAATACGGCCTTTTGGATCAAGTGATTTCAAATGGAAGTTGTTTCTGTGTCTTTTTGGCTCTCTGAAAAACTCTGAACAACAAAACATTGTATATTTTTGGAGCAAAACGTGCAGGACATTTTTGAATTATAAGTGTTACTTAAAGTCTGCCAGAGATTTGTCTTTCCAGACAAGTAGCAACTACTTGCGCTCATGGAAACCTCTGACTCATACCTACAGAATACACTCCTGGACAGCTAGAATTGGGATTTGGACACATCTTCTGCTATTTGTGGTTTATCTTACACATCATTGAAGATTAAACCCTTCACACTTGGTAGTATGTAGTACTCCCTACAAGGATAGGAAGGAGTGCCTAAATTCACCGAAATGCTATAGTTCTCCTATGTAGAGGCTCAGATTGCATGAAGTGGCCCATGAAGTGCTGGAACTTTAGAGAAAAACAGTATCAGGGCCAGGAATCCATAGTTTAAAACCCCACTAAAAGAGTCGCACAGACTCTTAGAGTCTTAAGAGTCATAGCTGCTGTTCCTATCTACAGGCTGCGATGTTTTCCACGTTTAATCCAGGCTGAGAAAGAATCCCCACAGTTAGTTACTTATCAGTGTTCTATACTCAAATCCATTTAGTCAGTTTTCTCAAGAAATAAGTCTGCAATTCTCTAGTTTCTATGATAGAAATTACGAAAAATCCTTTCACAAAATTAAGTGGTATGCACCCTAAAACCTACCTAAGTAACTTTGGGTTTTTGTACTAAGGGTCGTCCCATGACGCTGGACCACTGCCTCCATCACTTCATCTCCTCTGAATCTGTAAAGGATGTTGTGTGTGACAACTGCACTAAAGTATGTCATTTTACTTTATATAACCTGCTAGCTCAGTTTTAAGCCTGCTGACAGCATTACGGCTTCAGTTCTCTACTCCTTTTTTCGTGACTTCACGAAAGCCTCTGGCCTGCCTGGGATTTCTTATATTTAAAATGGAGTTCTTATCTCACAGAATATTCTGAAGCTGTATTTATTACTAATATTACAAAAATTGCAAATATTATATTCTGTAATTGCCAGGTATTATTTAGATAATATTTGGGATAAGTTTTTTGTTCTGGCATTTTAAACAGTATTTTACAGTTGCCTGTAATTTGATGATGGCACAGAGCCAAAGTGGCTTGTTTGAAAACCGACAGAAATGACTGCACGTAAACCTGGAGACTGGGCTTGTTCTGTAAATGCTCATTTCTGCTTGATTTTGGTTGAGAATTCTGATCTATTAGGATAAGCCAACAACTCTTAAGAAAGTTCCCAGAAAACTGTAGGTGTAACTAATATATGGCGCACAGTTGTAGATAGACAATTACTGTTGTCTGCAGTGTGTAGACCTGCACTATTACGTGGAATCTGGTACAGCAAGTAATCAAATGGCTTTATTTTTTTTCCCTTTGATTTCAGATTCAGGCAGAAGGGACTCTGAACGGACAGAGCATAGAAAACCAGAGAACAACATTTTTTAAGCAACTAAAGTTAGGAAAGGTGAGGCAAGCTAACCCTCCAAATCTATTTTTAAATCCTATTATACTGTAACTGCTTTCATTGATCTCTCTGCTTGATGCCCACTTCTTGGTATTGGTACTTTAATGTTTTACTTAAAAAGTAAGCTCATTTATCAAATAGTTGTAGGCATTGAGGCCTCAATTTAGCAAAATATCAAACTCTATAGCTTAAAGAATGTGAGTATTCTACTGATACTCAGTGAAATGCTTAAATGTGACTTTGCTCAGTGGCAGTTCATATGTCTTGCATTAATTCTTGATTGCCTTGGTAAGTAAAGTGATTCATATATACTGTGTTTGTAGGAGCTTTAGCAATTGCATGTTTCAAAGAAATTAAAATGTTCTCAATACAGCTGACTTAAACAAGTGAATGTGGTGCTAAACATCAGCTGTAGCTTATAGTAGAAGCTTTTATTATTTTTTTGGTCTGTAATCACATAGTGCAGAGGACAACAGGGCACTGCTCTGTAATTAAGAGCCTCAGGTGCCATTAATAATAATATGTACTTATTGTTAGAGGTTAACCCCGGCATGACTTCAAATGTCAGATATTTATAACTACTTGACCTTTTTTCCCCTTGATACTCTCGCTGTGCAAAGCCGTTACTTATTGAGTATTAGCGAATGTCTTACAACAACTTGCTCCAACAAATTCCAATCCTCATTTCTACCTTGCAGATCAACAAGCTAGATGAGATTGACAGGGGGGCTTTTTAGGAGCACGCATGTATTTTTATTAATGTTTTTTTTTCTTCCATTTGGAGAAAGCAATTAACATCGGCTATCTATCCTACTGCCTAGTGAGTGAGCAGTAGTGGCGTTATCAGAAATCTCAGGATAGTTGTGAGTTAGTGTCATGTCTTAGGGATACTATTGCCAATAAGCTTACACACAGATATAGTAGCATATAGGGGAACAGTTCAGTGATGTATTAGTTCCTTACTCGCTAGACTTACCCATTTTGTTAGTATGCTTTTCACTTGAACAGCTGTTTTTCTTAATTAAAAATGTATTTTGACTCTCCTTTCCTATGGAACATTGCCGAAGCTCCCCCAGTGTTTGTGTATCCATCTGCAAAGACTGAGCTGGTCAAACCAAGGCACTCCTCTGAAACGTCACGAACACGTGCAGTTCAATGAGTTCCTGATTATGGACATCTACAAATACCGCATTCCTGTTCATAAATCAAATCAGAATGAGCTGAATCAGAAAAACTCCGAAGAGACAACACCTGGGACAAAGGATGGGATAGCAGTAAAACCTTCAGGTGCTTATTTTGAAAATAAAATCTATCAGGTATTTCTACTTTTCAGTGATAAAAATTCTAATCTGCAGAATGAACAGAAGAGCAGTATCTTTATTTGAATTTGTCAAAGAGGACAGGTAGAAATCCCTTTCCCAACAAGCATTAGAATCCCCTGTTCCAAGTTTACAGTTCAGTTTTGATAATTTAATTTGATCCTATTAAATATTAAAAAAAAATTACAAACAAACGAAAAAATCCCAGATAGCACAGAACTTGCGTCTTTTATGTTCAAGGGACAAAGGAATGTTGAACTTAGGAAGTCCTTGGGATTATCTTGTTAGTGATCTCTTCTAAAGCTTCAGGACAAGCATAGAGAATGCTGGGAATGGCGACTTCTTGAAAAAAATTGGAAAATCTAGCTGTAATAGGTCTGTCATTTAGGCAGCTCAGTGTTCTATTTAGTTGGGATTTTGTAAACATGGTCATGTTCATATTTGTGTCATCTAAAAACAATTACCACTGTCTTTGGATGTTACACTCCTCTGCATCTCTTAAGGAATTGTAATATGTAATGAATTAGAATAAGCAAAATACCTTCACATTCTGTGATGAAAGGTATTGCAGGAACAGAAGTACTGTTATTAGCAATACTAATAGTAGCATTTAAGTTAAATTACTGAATGTCTACTTTCTCTTGCAGATGCCGAACAGCCATCTGGTACTAAACCATTCTTCATGAATGGTGCCTGCTCCTCTTCATTTTTAATGTCCTCAGGAACGTTTCCACTTGCTGCGTTCCCTGAATGCAGGTAAGTTAGAGATTTGTACCCTATCCTGTAATTTCTGTCCCTGCAAATTATGTTTTCCTTTATTCTGTCTTTCCTATGAGGCGGCATAGTGACAGAATTTAACATCCTTTCTAGCTCCTCTGCAGAAATTTTTTGCTTTTCTCTTGGCTGATTTTTAGTGGTTGTCTTTGGCTCCGTTTCTCTCTTAGAAAAGGGAGTAGGGCATATTACAAGCAAAACTCAAAATCTCCTTTCTCTGGTTCATGGTGCAGTAAGTCATCCTTCTGAATAGCCATAACCTTATTCTTGCTGTTTTCTTCTACCCCTTCCTTTCATTTTTCCTCTTACTCTGATTTTAAAACTATTGCAAGAAAGCCAGACTTTTTTTTTTTTAAACATTATTGATTTAAGTTGCAGCTGCTATGATTCTACTTGGTAAATCAGCCTTGATGCTTCTCCTGATAATCTGCTTTCTTGGCCTTTGAGAACCTTCACTTATTTTTCATGCCAGTTAGTTCTATACCACTTCTTCTGCCATTGTGTATTTTCCCCACGTGGAAGACAACTCCCACGATCTCTGTGTGAAATAAGAAGCCTGGAAGCATTTTGTGCCAAACGTCTGTTATGAAGACAGTTGTAGAGCAAGTCCTTGAAAGCGTGTCCAGTTTTATCTGTGGGTTACCTACTGCAGTGTTACCTCTTTGCAGTTAAAACCACATTTTTCCAGAATAGCTTTTCTGTACAGTAACAGTGCTTTAAGAATAAAATACTGGCACATTGGTAGGTTTGATAGAAAACTCAATCAGTTATGCTGTACAAAATGCAGTAGCCCTCTGTAGCACCAATTTTTTAAAATAAATGGTTCAGTTTTCTCAATAATAGAATAAAGCAGGACTGCAGCGAAGACTTGGTATACTGAAAAGTAGTTGCAAGGAAGTATGTCTCTTACGGAGCTATCCGTTTCCTCTAAAAAGAAATGGCAACTGAAGACAAAGCAAGTGGGGCTGCTTCTGCTATGTGCGTGATCCACAAGAGCTGCTGACCCTCTCCTTTTTCTCCTTTGTCCTTCAGTTCCCCTGTATACCTTTACCGTCTGATGGCAGTTGTCGTTCATCATGGAGACATGCATTCTGGACACTTTGTGACTTACCGCCGCTCTCCACCTTCTCCCAAGAACCCCCTCTCTGTCAGCAGTCAGTGGCTGTGGATTTCAGATGACACTGTTCGCAGAGCCAGTTTGCAAGAAGTCCTTTCGTCTAGCGCTTACTTGCTTTTTTATGAGCGTGTTCACTCGAGGGTACAGCACCAAAGCTTGGAGTTGAGGGCTGAAGAGTGATTAAGAGAGCAGAAGGACAAAAACTGACAAAATTCCTCTAATGCGATCGACGTTGCACCTCCTGTCTGTTATGCAAATAACCCACCACAGGCCCTTTAACTTTCCCCTCCCTCTATGGCAATGGCTGGCTCCTGCTGGGAGTTGTGTTTTGTACCAAAATTACGCTACCCAAAGTTGGTCTGCTAACCTTGTGCAGTCCAAAGTGTATCTGTATTAGAGAAGCATTTATTCTGTTAGGTAGTAATTTTGTCAACATCACAGCTCTGAAACAGACATTTCAAACAGACTTCCCAAGGCTGTATTCCATATTCTGACACATATGTAAATTTTCAAAGGGAGATGCTTAATCCTACACATTTCACTGCAGACGTTTCTGAACAGGGGAGCCCCAGAAGCAGTTGATGGGAAGCTACTGTTATCAAAGGCAAGGATTTAAGAAACAAAGTGCCTTGAGCTTCTTTGAATATCTACCTTACCATTGTCTGAGTCCACTGCATGTCAGTTGCGTTCTGATAAATGTCTCAAGATGATGAGATGAACTACTAACGGAATCAGATTTCTTTTGATATCCCAGCTAAGGCATCTCTACATAACATTCACGACCCAAAAACCAACTTTCCTGTTCACGTCATTTTCTTAATATTTTAGTTCTTTATACATGATAGAAGTACTTCTGCTGATTCAAAGTGCGGTCTCCTTTTTCCGGGAGAAAATATAATTTTTTTTTTAATCTATGAAGAGCCAAGACCCTGACTTATTGCTCTGTATCTTTGGAAAATAGCTGAAATTAAGAGACAGAAGTGTTTGCTAGCAATCAGTATTGTAATTTCCTTCGTCACTATGAAGCTGTTGAATACGGTTGCTTGTAGTATTGACTACAACTTTTAATGCTGTGATTTCAAGGCTACTGTAATTGGTGTTCTAGACTTGCCCTTCCTATTTTAACGCTGAAAACTGCCATTTCTCATCAAGCATTCAGATACGTGCTGTCTGCCTTGCAGTTGAGCTCTAGAGCTTGTGCCAGTTGTGTTTGTGAGCTGAGATGTATAGCAGCCCAAGCATCCTTGTCAAGTTAGAGTGTACACAACTGAATCAGGACTGGTGGGCACTTACTTGTCTTGTGAAGCCGTATGGCCAACTGTAGAGACTGGTGTCACTGCATTAGATACAGATTGCCACATAAATAGAAGTAAGGTGTGCTTTGCTGCTCTAGATTGTTTGACACGTTAAAAAAAACAGTCCCAAACAAAGCATGGAGGGAGAAGCAGCAAAAATGCTCCTTTTGACTGCTTTGAAATTACCAGGAATAAAGTATGTAGGCTATTTTTAGTTCTTTTCTATCCTTGTAAGCTTGGAGGAGAAAAAGACTAATCCATCAGACAAGCTTTTTCAGTGTAAAACACACTAAGTTTTTGAATAGTAACAACTGTCTTAATAGTTTTTTAGGGCAACTTTGTACCTCATATATTCATATTGCTGCCCAAAGCTCACAGGCGTTCAGAGTTCCTTACCGGGAGGCTCAAAACCAGCCAAAACAGGAGTGGTAATGGATGTATATGCAAAACTATTTACACAACTCATCATTCCAGAGTATGGATCACAATTCCTGCTCCAAGTAATGCTCATAGTACATAAAATAGTCTTTATAAAAATCTACTGATGTGCTAGTTCCTGAGAAGTCTCCCTGTCTGTGCTAGGCTAGCAGTAGCATGGTTTTAACCCTTCTATTTTAAGTTACGGAAAAACAACAACAACAACAAAAAAAAAACACCCTAGAAGGATGCAAAATGCCAAAAACACCCTGGCCATTGAACTAAGACGGACTTGCAGAAGGTGAAAGCCCTCTGTTCTGGGCAGCACGGGTGTGCAGGAGCTCTATAAAGCAGTGCTGGGTGTCATCTAAGGAAAAACATCACGCAAAGCATCTAGCTCCAGCAGGTCTACCATTTGTACCTCAGAACTTCAAAACATTTCCACTGCCAGCAATGTATATTCTGCAATACCTATTCTCAATGGGATCTGTTTAGAATCTTTGACTGAGTTTTTGAGAAGTTCATCTGAACAGGTCACTTTGTTTAGAAAGCAGTAATGCTGGAGGTGGGTCAGAACATACGCACACAATGGATTAAATCTTAAATTTGTCAGCTTGTAACAGGGACATAAAGCCACATTCCTGCAAGCTTGCATGTTCAATATATTTTTCTTTTGCATAGAGCTGCTTTCCAACAGGGGCTAGTTTGATGAGAATGAAAGCACAGTCACTGTACGACACTGATAAACTGCTCAATTTCACTCTGCTGCCAATTTACTCTGAAAGCTTCCTCAAGGACTATAGAGATGAGGGTCGAGTAGTCAGCATTTGTTCTAGCTTTCACTGTTAGGAAGGAGTAGACAGTCTTGGCTTAACCCTCAGTGTGAGGAAGGAAGCAAAGTGTCAGCACCTGGGTTCTGGTCCCGAGCTGTGCTAGATACTCCCAGCCTGCTGTGAGCATCAAAGGCCTCTGCGGGTGTTTGCTGCCCAACCCTTGCCTTTTGAAGTCACTGGGCTCTGCAAAAGCATATGAAGCTCATCAAATGCTGTTACAAGCTTTCATAGTAGAAAAGGTGTTAATAAAATGTAAAAGGTTAAAAAAAAACATCAGGTAAGCCTCCAAGATGACATCTCTGTGTTTGGATTATTCTTGTCTTATTTTGTGCATTATTTAAAAAATTACGATGTTGTTGTCAAACCACTGCACTGCTGTTTGAAGTTACGTTTTCACTTCAGGGTATTTTTGTAACTGTACAGTAGCAATAAAAGAACAAACTTATTAGAAAAAAGTAGCTGTTCATGTGTGGCTATGTCTTGAAACAAAGACCAGTCTGTAGGCCAAACCACATTCGATATATCTGATAGAGGCAGCACTCACATTCTCTGGTTAAGCAGCATTCACGGAGGAGCAATTCATGCTATATATAGCACTTTCTGGTAGCGGCAGAGGGTGGGAAGTACCAACTCCAAATTGTCTAAACAGACATAGCCCTAATGGACTTACTCTTGAAGGACAGAACCCATCGCTAACTCAGAAGCTTCTAGCCTGGTTACACAGGGACCAGGTCAGAGCCTCACTCACTACTTACCATTGCTCGATTCCTCAACACCTGTCGGTGACTTCGCATGGTCTTTCCTCCTTTCAGCATGACTCGCAGCCAGCATGGAAGGTGATGGCTTTCAGGTGGTCAGAATGGAATCCCTAGGGATGATTATTTAGAAAAACAGACGCTCTCAGAAGTTATAGCCTTTCATGCTGCCTTGTCTCTGTAAATGGTCCAACCCAGTCTCTCCCCAAAAGGTCTGTCTTACGCTCTCTGGTTTCTGTACAAAGGACCGAAGGAAGAAGATGCCCTCACTCCGTGCAGCAGCACTGCATGCTTCCTCCTGCCCCACCATGCCACTGACCAAAAGTACCCAGAAACCCACATAAACAGAGGAGGTAGAGCAGCAGAGGAATATAAGCAGGCAAAAGTCGCAGTGACTGTAAAACGTGCAGACAGCAATGTTGCACTCGCTATATTCATATCTTAGCGCTCCTCTTTTTCATGTCAGTCTCGTTTGTATTTTATTTAAAAAAACAAACGAGCAAACCATAGCTCATTGACAGAGCATACAAGAAAGTGTCATGTGTTGAACAGTGTGAGCTTCCAGGCTCACTCTAAATGATTACATCTTTTACTTTATAGTATTTATAAACTGTTTCACTGATATCTGAAGGATATAGAGCGTTTTTGATCTTTTTGGAAAACTGGCTAGATTAAGATCAGTTGAGAACAAACTTCCTCCTGAACAAAACAAGGGTATTACTCATTTAAAATATGTATCAGCAGGACTACAGTAACTTTTCACAGAGAGAAAGCATTCTTGGCATTTAAGATCAGTAGTCGCAGCCTTTATTAGCAAGTTACCAAGTACACTATCTCCTCTCCTAGTTTAATTTGCTCCTCTGGCACCTTGGATCATCAAAGACAGTGTCTGAATGAGAGACTGACGGTTATGTCAGGGAAGAAAGCTCCTATTTTCAGCGTCAAAAGACCAGGTGCTTGATTGCTGTATATTTCACTTCTTGGCTATAGTCATCACTTTCCGAAATGTGAGGTTGATTCTTGGGGCAAGTACTCTCTTGCGGGTGGGCAGGCTGTGGTACCAATACACATTGGTGGGGTACTTCATCATTAGCAGGCTGCCATGGGCTAGCTGCAGTTTGATGGGCTTAATGTGGCGCGTTGCATTTTTCCCTCTGGAATCACAGTGCCTGAAAACAAAGTCCCTGCAAGCTCCAAAGGACACAGACGCAATAGGGCTGCGTGGAACCAGTTCTCTCTCATCATCTCGATGTTCACCCATGTGGTCCTCACCATCTTTATATCTGTACACAGAAGAGATTAATTAGTTCTTCCGCCAATTCAATTAAATGAATGTAAAACAACTTGTCGATGATCTGTCACTAGCGTTGCACAAGCAAATTTTCATTTGAACAAGTTGCTTGATGCAATCAGAAATCAGACATACCTGTTAATAAGAACAAAATTGAAAGTATGTCCTGTGTCCAAAGCGATGCGGTCTCTGATACGGTTGAGAACTGGGATCCATGGCTTAGGCGAAAAGGTAACGCCCGAGTAAGTGTATGTTAACTCAGGGTCTCCATAGGTTACCTGCTTCCTTGGAATGTCATGCCATTTGCCAAACACATGCAACTTCGTCATTTCACCTGTTTAAACAAGAGATGAGAAGGATCAAAACCAACTCCGTATTACCTCTGCAATTCACAGTTTCAACAATCTCCTTGATTTGGAGCTCCTGTGAATCTCCAGTGGGACAACAGAAATGAGGATGCTGATGACAACCCAAAAGCTGTTATCCGTGGGCAAGTGTTTCTGTCTCAGCAAAGTACCTGGGCTGGTGGGAGCTGTCCCTGCCCATGGCAGGGGGGTTGGAACACGATGATCTTCAAGGTCCCTTCCAACCTAAACCATCCTATGATTCTACTTAACTCTCAAGTCTGACACTGCTTTACTACCCCCCTTGAACGTGATGAATAGCAGGAGCACCCCCATCATATTCTGTTGTTGAATTAACGTGACTGGGGATATCTCATATACTACACCTACCGACAACCTCCTGTCACCCTTCCAAGACTATCCCTGTTCTTTGCAAAGATGAAAACACGAATGAAACTGCTCGGCACGCGCTTCAAGCTACGCAAAACCCACCCGGTGGGATCAGACCCGTTGTTTGCCATTTCACTCGGCAGGGCCAGGCGACGCAAACACCAGGCGCCTGCAGAAAC